TTCAACCACAGAACTTGAATCAAATGAAAACACACTGAATGTCGAATATGTTAGAATCTGTAAGGAGGCGGTCAAAGTCTCCCTCAAGAAATTATCCGACATTCATCTGCATGTGCTTAGCAAGATGAGAAACCTTTCGATAGCAGGTAACATGGTGGAGACTCGACTTGGGTGCCTCTGTAGTCCTACAGTCCACAACCGTTAGTTTCAATATCCTTTCCAATTTATTATTATTTAATCATGCTACCTTTCGATGCCATAGAGTCCGAGTTACTGATAGCGTCGTTAAATAAAGTACAAATAATATAAACAAATTCAGCGTAACCGCTGCATGTCCAAGTGGAGGAACGATACCAGTTAGTGGTTATCATGTTGCAAAGATTTATCTCAAAGCATTTCATGGATCCGCCGCCATCTTGTTAATTTCCAAGCTCATGTGTTCTAGTTATAGAGAGAAGAAATGCTCGGCTCGTAATTGAATTTGGGCTACGGGGGATTGTTAGTTTATGCGAACTGAACGGGCGCTTGTTTGACGTGTGTCCAATTTAGCAAGGTCTGAACAAGGCGGTGACCGGCTACACTGCCTTTCTATTCCCTTCAGGCCCTCAAAACATAATTTGGCGGGTCAGGGCAACGAAGAAGAGTGAGTGAGGGTGAGAAAAAGTTATGGAAAAATAAGATAAAACAAAGGAAGGAAGAGATGGGACAGGTAAAGACAAAGATTATGATGCAGGAGGGAAAGGAGGAGAAAAATAAGTGCGAAGAGGAGAAGAAGAATAAAATATATTAAATAACGAAAACATAAAACGGGAAGGTGACATGTTTACGAAGGAACAAAAGTAAAAGAAGATGAAAAGTAATTTGGAACAAATAAACAATTACTGTTTTCAGTTTGTCTTAAGACGTGTTTTGTTGAGAAGACATTCACCCACAAAATATGACTTTGTCCTGAAAACTTTTATCTGAAATATTTTAAGACGAGCCGAAACGGCCGGAATCAGCTATGTATGGCCTACATAACTCTCGTTGGTGTAAATCTGTACATGAAAATGTAAACGTAACAATTAACTATGAAAAAGTTGTGTGAGGTCAAAGAATAAGAACAAATTAACACTTCTTCTTTCTTTGCGCGTTCTTTCTAAGAAGTTCATAAAATAAAAGAATAATGAGGAGATCGTGTCTGTATGTCCGTCCACACGTATATTTAATCTCGAAACAAATTTAAGAATTGCGGTTAAAACTGACAATAGGGGTGTGCATTAATCTCCCATGACAATTAAATTTTGGCCCACATGTGTGCATCAAGTTCAAAACAAACTTTATAGTTTTACTCCAAAGTGAAACATCGTACAAAAATTAATACGTCTCATAAAATATCGATTTTATTCAGATTTATAACTTTTACTTTAAACATTATTCAATATGGCGAATTCAAGGAAAAAAATTACAAGTCTGTGTTGTGTAAAACTTGTGTGATTAGCTTCACACAATTCATTTTTATCTGCAATAAATTCATATCAAGGCAAATTAAGTATAAAAAATTACAAATAATGCGGTACTTCTATCAGAAAGTTAGAAAACCTAACATCTTTAGAGAAAGTTTCCGAAATTTCTGATATTCACTCTCGTTTTTCTGTTCCATATCGGACTTGCATTCCAACTTATTAACTTCAGTTCGCTTCAAAACCCTTTATCTGTAGCCCTTAATACATTCTATTAGCAAACCCTTGCTCTTCAGTTTTCATACACTTGCCTGGCTAGGGGATGAATCCACCCCTCCCCTGCCTC